GGGGGACACGGATGTGACAGGGTGGACGTGGACACGGGGGTCGTGGAGGGATGCGGGCACGAGGGGCGGACACGGACGGAGGGGACACAGGGGGACACGGTTGTGACAGGGGGGACACGGTCACGGAGGTTGGGCATGGAGGGCCGTGGACATGAAGGGGTGGACATGGGACGCAGAGGGACACGGATGTGACACGGGGGACACGGACGTGAGGGGGTGGGCACGGAGGGACATGGATGTGCGTGGGACACAGAAAGGGGTGGGCACCCAGGGATTCGGACGTGAGGGGCATCATCGACAGGAGAGGGGACACATGGGGGGACACGGGCACGAGGGGGTGACTTAAAGGGGCAGTGACACGAGGGGTTGGACACGGAGGTCACAGAGGGACACAGATGGGAGAGGGTGGACGTGGATGGACGCGGTCACGTGGGGGTGGACACGGACACAGGGGACACAGAAGGACACCAATGACAGGGTGGACACGGACACGAGGGGGTGGACACATGCGAGGGGATGGACGTACAGGGACACGGACACGAGGGGGGACACGGACACAAGGGAGGGACACGGACACGAGGGGGGACACGGACGGGAGGGAGGGGACATGGAGGGACACGGACGTGAGTGTGCACGGACATTCACATGCGGGGACGGACACACGGACACGGATATGGGTGGGTGGACATGGAAGGACTTGGACACCAGGGGGCGAACACGGACACGGTGGGACAGAGGGACACAGAGGGACACGGGGGGGACACAGAGGGACACGGGGGGACACGACGGGGACACAGCAGGGGTGGGCACAAAGGGGCTTGGAAACGAGGAGTGGACAAAACCATGGTGGACTCGGTGCACGTGGGACACCGACACGAGTGGCAGCCACGGGGAGGACACGGCCACGGGAGGGACACCAGGATGGGGACACCCAGGGGACAGGGACACCCATCCACGCACAGAGCCCCCCAACCACCCAGCCCTGGGGTCCCTTCACATGCGGGGGGGGGGTCCCCGTGCTGCCAGTGGGGGGGTCTGTGTGCCCACGTGTGCCCCCCAGCCCTCGGATGCTCCCAGGGCACCGGGGACCCCCAGCCGGTGCTGGGGGGATGTTCAGAACCCCAGGAAAGGATTAGAGGGGGGTCCGACGGGGCCAGGGGGTGCTGAGTTGGGGGGTGCTGCCCCCCTGCCCCCCCTCCGGGGCCGGCTACGCCCTAACGGGGTGACACGGAGCCGCCGGACCCGCCCGTTCCTCTTCCCCGCACCAGCAGCAGCGGCCGGAGCGCAGGCGAGTCGGGGGGGCTGGGGCTGGGGAGGAGGGGGCAGGAAACGACCTGCTGGGACCCCCGGGAGCTGCCCAGCCCTGGGAGAGAAGGAGCAGGGCGGGGGGGCCGGACTGGGCTGCACTGGTTTGCGGCGGGAGGGGGAATCCGGTGGGAACGAGGGTCCTGATTCCTGTTTCCCACCCAGGCGTTCCCGGTGTGCTGGAGGGGTCATGGGGGTCCCTGCAGCTCCTCTCATGCTGCTGCTGCTGCTGCTGCTGCGCCCTGTGACCCCCACGAGCCCCACGGTCCCCGTGTCCCGCTGCTTCGGCGTGCTGGGGGATGATGCCCAAGACCTGGACCTGACCAACAAAACCCGTGGATGTGCCGAGCTGGACTTGGGCCCTTTCTACCAGAAGCGATGGCTGTTCCTGAGCCACAACGGCATCGAGGCCCTGAGCCCCTCATCCCGCCTCGGGCCCAGGCTGAAGGAGCTGGACCTGAGCTACAACCGGCTGCGGGAGCTGCCCGAGGGGCTCTTCACCCATGCCACGGCCCTGAGCACCCTGAAGCTGGAGGGGAACCCCCTCTCTGCCGTGCCCCCCGACGCCTTCCATCCCTCCCTCACCTCCCTCTCCGTGTCCTGCCGCTGCGACGTGGTGGGCACCGTCCTGGCCCCCTGCGCCCACCCGGCCACCCGCTGGTGCCGCTGCTTCACGTCCCACCAGGAGCCCCTGAACGTCACGGAATTCCACGGCCGGGAGTGCGGGGTCAGCGCGGGGCTGGTGGGCGGCGTGGCCGGGGCGGTGGCCGCGGTGGCCGCGCTGGTGGCCGTGGGCGCTGCCCTGGTGTGTTATCGGCGGAGGAGGGCGGGGGCCGCGGTGGCCGGGGCGGGGTGGGGGAAGCAGGACCCCGGTGCGGGCGTCCGGCAGCCCCAGTACGTCAGCCGGGACGACGGGATTGGCACCAACGAGGTCGCCGAGGTCGCCGATGTGCCCGACTACGAGAACGTCTTCGTGAGCCCCGGCACCGCCCCGGCCACCAAGCAGGGATGGGCACCGGGGTGGAAGGAACAGCGGTACAGGTGAGGCTCTGGCATCCCACCCTGCTGTGCTGGCATCCCATCCCATCCCATCCCATCCCATCCCATCCCATCCCATCCCATCCCATCCCATCCCATCCCATCCCATCCCATCCCATCCCTCTGTCCATCCATCTATCCATCTATCCATCCATCCATCATCTCCCATCCTGTTCCACCCCATCCCATCCACCCCATCCATCCCATCTCTCCCATCCCATCCCATCCCACCCCCTGCTGTGCCATGCTGTCCAGTCCCACACATGCCACCCCAGTGCCCTCCTGTCCTGTCCCATCCCACCATCCCCAAGTCCCAGGCGCTTCCAGGGCCCGAGCCCTTCCCTCCCTGACCCCTGTGACATTCACTCCCCACTGAGCCCCCCCCCGTCCCCCCAGCCCCCAGGTCCCGGAGGATGAGAATTATTTCCTGGAGAACGAGGCTGATCCCGGGGACCAGCCCATCTACGCCAACACTCTGGGCCCCACCGAGGACGTTTACATCATTCCCGACCACTGAGGGGACTGGGAGGGACTGGGGGTGGGGGCGAGGAGGACACTGGGGGGACTGGGAGGGACCCTCTGCCCCCTGCTGTCTTCCCCTGCTGTCCCCCCAGCCCAGAGGGGACAGGGACAGCCCACGGCTCCACGGGCTTCCCCACGGCCGGGCCGGGCACACGGGTGGTTCCCACGCGACATTTCCTGTGGGAATGCCTCCCTGTGGGGGGGTTGGTTTTAACACCCCCCGGCCCCAGGCCCTGCCACGGCCCCAGTTCCCACCGCAGGGCTCAGCAAGGGCTGAGCTGACACTTCCTCCCGGGGCCGGTGGCCACCGACTGCGGGGACGCCTCATCCGCCGGCAGCCGGAGCCTTCCGGCCCCGGGGCGCACGCGGGGCCCCCGGGGAGGAGCAGGGCCAGGGGGTGACCACGGCCTTGGGTTCCTCTTCCCCTTTTGGGGCCGATGGGGAGCGTCGGGGGCAGCGCTGGCTCGGGGCCGTGCCGGCGGTTGGGCACATCCGGGCCCGGCTGTGCCCCCCGTTCTCCTCCTGCTCAATCTGCCCCTCTGGGGAATGGAGGGAAAATCCTTGTTTTCAGTCCTCCTGGCGAGACCCCGAGTTTGGGCACCCTGAGGGGAACGGCAGCCTGGGGGACAAGGGGACCCCCTGTGCCTTGTGTGGGTGTCCCCTCATCCATCCCCCCCACCCTTGACCCCTGTGAGGCTTCACTGTGCCCATTAAATGGTTTAATTGTCTTTAATTACCCGTGGAGCTCGTGGTCTGTGGGGAGCCCTGGGCAGGACACAGGGCTTTTCCCAGTGGAAGGTCCCTGGAGCTCCAAAAGCACGTGTCCCCAAAGTGGGGGTCCCAAGGAACCAGAACCCTCAAGGACAGGTCCCCAAAGCCTTTGTCCCCAAAGTGGAGGTCCCAAGGGACCAAGAGCCCCAAGGACACGTCCACAGAGCCCATCTGCCCAGGGCAGGGGTCCCAAGGGACCAATACCCTCAAGGACAGGTCCCCAGAGCCCACGTCCCCAAAGTGGTGGTCCCAAGGGACCAAGACCCAGGTCCCTCAAGTCCGTGTCCCCAGAGTGGACATCTCCATAGCTTGTGTCCTTCAAGCCCTGGTCCCCAACGCCCCCATTCCCAGAGTAGAGGTCCCCATATCCCACATCCCTCAAGCCCGGGTCCCACCAGCAGCTGCCGAGGGGCCGGGAAGCCCAGGACACCCCCGGATCCCAGCGGGAGAGGGGACAGGACACAGAGGAGCTGTGACCAGCACAGCCACCCCATGAAGCCGTGGTGGGGACACACCATGTGCCCCCAAACCCCTGTGGGGGGTTTCCCCCACCCCTTGGTGCCCGTGGGGTCCCGGGGCCGGAGGCACCTGGAAATCGGGTGACGGCCCCATCCTGGCTGGACGTCCCTCCCGGGGGTCAAGGCTGTGCCCAACACCCATCCCAAGGGCATAAACAACTCAAAGGTCTCTGGAGCAGTGCCCAGATCTTCCTGACACGCTGGCAGCATGGCACTGGAAAGCCACGAGGATTTACCAGCAAATCCATATGGAGTCAGATCCCAAGGGAGCTGAGGGAGCTCTGGTGGGAGACCCCCCCCCAAGCCAGCTGTGCAGGAGGAGCAGCCAGAATCCCTGTTCCCATCACTTTATTCATTGTCGTTATTATATCCTTCCTGTTTTACGGAAATATATAAAGTACAAATAGACAAAAAAAAAAAAAACAAACCTCGTTTCCCCCTCAAAAAAGTCACTTTGCTATAAAATACAATAAATTAGAAATAAATAAGGGGGTTCTATAAATAAGTCTATTCTACTATTCTGTCAATAAAAATTAGAGCAGAGAAGGAGGGATGGGGTGGGATGGGGACACCCAGGGATAGACCCACCCTGGCCCCTTTGGGGTATCTCAGGTGGGAAGATAAAATTAAGTATGGATTAATAAAACAAAATATGGATTTAATAAATAAAATATGGATTTAAATAAGAAAAGAGAGGAGGGAATATGTTGTTGTGGAGAGGAATCCAAAACTGGAAAGCCCAGGGCTGAGTCAGAGCTGAAAGCCCCAGAGTGGAACTGGAGAATCTGGGGCTAAACTGGACAGTGGAGATGGGTCTGATGTGAAGGCACTTGGTGCCAGAGGGTCTGGATTTTGGGATGCTGAAGCTGGAGGTTCTGAGGCTGAGCTCAGTGGTGGAGCCAGGTCTGGCGTGGAGTCATTTGGTGCCACAGGGTGTGGATTTTGGGACGCTGGAGCTGGACATTCTTGGGGCTGAGCTGGGTTGGTGGAGTCGGGGCTGGCTTGGAGGCACTTAATGCCACAGAATCTGAATTTTGGGGTGCTGGAGCTGCCAGGAGGCCTCACCTGGGCAGCGACACGTCCCGGTTGGAGCCACCGGCGATGCCATCAGGCACAGTGGCACCTGGTGACCAACATGTCCTCGAAGACGCTGGAGACCAGCCTGCCCTCGCCGTCGTAGTGCATCAGCACCATGGGGTCGTATCCAGCAGGGACACAGCAGGGAGGGGGGGTGGCCTTGGACAGGGAATGCACTCGGGATTTGATCTGGGCGTGCATGTTGGCCGGCTTGTAGTTGTGGGGGCAGGAACCCTCGCAGAACCTCATGTAGTAGCTGTGGGGGGCGATGACCCAGTCCGACCAGCCGATGTCCTGGAAGGAGACCTTCAGCGACTTCAGGCAACACTTCCCATCGCTCTTCCCGCACTCCTCCTCCAGCCCCCGGGCTCTCCTGGCCCCCCGAGCCGTGTTCTCCTGGGTTTCCACCTCCAGCACCAGCGTCTCCCCCTCCGAGGTGGCCAGTGCGGCCGAGACGTTGGCTGTGAAGTCCAGCTGCAGGCGCAGCGTGGCCTCAGGACCGGCCACCCAGGGCTGGATGGCTGCTGTCACATCCAGGCTCCGGGAATCGGGGTCCAGCTCTTGGCTCTGCACGAGCTGGGGGGTCTCTTCGTCCCCCTGCAGGGCGTAGATGGTGACCCGGGGAGGCACCGAAGCGCCGCGCGGGGACATCTCGGGGGACGGCGGCGACCGCTTGAAGAGCTTCAGCTCCGCCTGAACCACCTGGAGCTGCCGCTGGAATTCCTCGGCGCGGGAGAGCAGGAGGTGGTAGCGGTGGGGACCGCGGGGGTCCTGGTGTCCCTGGGAGTCCCCGTGTCCTTGCGGGATGTCCGGCCAGCGCAGCACTGCGGGGACAGAAGGGACAGCTGATGTAAGAGCCGGCAGTTCCCCCGTCAGCCCGGGCTTGTGACCAGCCCCGCTCAGGCAGCCGAACCACCGCTCCCGGGGAATCCCCCAAATCCCCGGGGGTGCTGGAAATTCATCCCTACCCTCAGATCGCTCAGGACCCACCATCTCCAGGGACCCTCGAGATGGAGGGTCTCAGTTTTGCCGGTGCCAGAGCGGGTACCCCGCACTGGGGCACCCCCACCCCACTCCCCAGCTGTCCCCGCACCAGCCCAAGCAGTAAGAGCAGAATATTCCCCTAAATCCCCTCAGATTCAGATAACCCCCCCAAACTGGGGCTCAAGCTGGGGATCGAGGGATGGCACCTCCCCTCCGCTCACCCCCAAACCACCCCGAGCCCCACTCCGAGCCCCCCGAGCCGCCACCGCGCCGCCGATTAAAAGCTTCCATCCCAAATTCCCTGCTCTTGGTGTTTTTAAGCAAAAGAGCCCCAACAGCGGCTCCTCCCCTCTTCCAGGGCAAAGGAAGCCGCGGGACGAGGATGCCCGTGGCCACCGTGCTGCATGCCCGGTCATGTCCCGACCGTGCCCGACTGCGGGACGCGCTGGGACGCGCTGGGACACACGCGTGTGTCGGGGGGATGAGGGTCGTGGAATGACGGGGAGTCACTTACGGATGGGGGTCAGGCGGTGCAAACGCCGGGTCCTGGACATGGATTCCTCCTCCTCCTCCTCCCCTTCCCGGCTCCGGTTCCCCGCCAGCTCTGCCACTTTCTGCTGGTAGAGCCGCTGCGCTCTCTGGATGCTCTCCTGGTCCGGCTGGTGCCGGATGACGGGGGGAGCCGGCATTCCCAGCCGCTCCAGGATCCCCTTTTTGACGGCTTCCAGCTGGAGCCTGTCCTGGTCCCACGTGAGGGGCAGGGAATTCACGGCGGCGAGGGGCAGAAGGAGCTGGAGGCAGGTGAGGGTGGCCCAGACATCCCTCAGCGCTCCGGGCATCGCGCTCCTCGGCATCCTGCAGCTCCCGGGGCAGCCTTTACTCCCGAATCTCGTGCAAAGGCTGGACGTGCTGCCAGGGGAATGAATGAACTGGACCAGACCAGACTTTATAGGGGCCGAACTTTGCCCGCCCTCCTGCCGTGGGTGACAGAGTAAACTTCCAGCAGGAATTTCTCCTTTCTGGGATTTTGCACAAAAGGTTCAGGCAGCGCTGGAGCCCGGATGATTTACAAGCCGGTTTGAAGCTGTAGAGACAAGAAAGTCTGGAATACTATTTCTCAGCAACAATTATTCCACCATCTTCCGCTTCCCGTTTCCCCTACGGGATCGCGTGGCTGGGGGAATCCCCCTCACCTCCCCCAGCGGGTGGCAGGGGGAGATGGAGAGGGGATGCTGTGCAGCATTCCAGCGTGGCTCCTCCATCCCTGCATCCTCAGCCACCTTCCCTGCCTGTCGCCTCGCCCCGGCGCCTGTTATCACACGAGGGGGCCGATCCAGGCGCACGCAGCCCCTTCCCGAAATCCCACCGAGGCGGGAATGGGGCGGGGAGGAGGAGCTGGGCTGCCGGGCTCGTGCCGGGCGCGCTCCCGCAGGAGGAGTGGGATCAACCCTGGACCTTGTCCCACCAAACCGGCTGCTGGCACCGGTTTCTCCGTGCAGGTGTGGCCGAGAGGGGTGGGTATGCCCCGTGTCCCGATCCTTCTGAAGCAACTGTGGCACTGGGTTACATCATCATCATCCTCCCAAATGGAGCCAGGCAGGACGGAGCCTGCCACCAATCCGGCGGGGCCACGTGTGTGCCGGGCAGCGGCCGTGCCAGACCAGGGCTAGGGAGGAGAAAATCCACCGGTGGGAACGAGCCACGGAGGTTGGCACGGGACCACCCGCCTCCCGCCTTCTCCTCAGGGATGCTTGGACCGAAAAAACACGAGCGGGCGGATGAGGAACCGCCGGTGGTGGGATGAGTTGGACGGGCAGGTCCTTCCCAGGGCAGGCGAGGCCGTTCCCAAACGTCCTGAAGTTGATCCAAGTGCCTGGTCTTCAGCTGTGCTCCTGCCAGGGGGTGAACGTGCACGCAGTAATCCCGTGATTTAAGGCTGTTTATCCCCTGCTTCTCCTCGGGCTTTTCTCGCCCGGCTTCTCAAGGGGTTGCCTGAGGCAAAGCCAAGAACAAACATTTCACCCTAAAACCCGGGAAAGGAGAAGTTTGTCAGGATGACCAGCATCATGTGGGGGGGATTGCCCTGGCTCTGGCTCTGCTGCCCAGCTCTGGAGCCATCCTTGCAGTGGGATGGGTGAGGAGGAGCTGGAGTTTTTCTCTTCCCAGGGCATCCAGCTTGGGTGAAACCCCATGTGTGGCTCCCAGGGAAACGTTGCAGCCTCGTTTATCTCCAGGGCTTCATCCCGTGTGGATTTGGGCACCATCCTGCTGCTGCCATGAGTGGGACATTACCCAGCCCTCCAGCAGCTGGGCAGGGATGAACCCCCCTCCTGGAGCGTCTTCCCATCGGGGATCCTTAGGGAGTTCCCAGAGCACCAAACCCACTGTGACCCCTCTCCCAGGGATTTTGTCAGCTGGGGTGACTGCAATCCTTCATCCCCTCACTCCAAGGAGGAAGGGAGAGGGAGCATCACCCAGGAGGACCACAAACCTCTGGCTACCACCCTGGGGCAGAACCATCACCATCACGTCACCCCCTCCACTCCGGACATCTCCGTGTCCCCGGCAGGTGCCAGCCCGGCCACCAGCCCCTTCCACCATCCACATGGTGCCAAACGTGCTCATCCAGAGCTGAAACGGAGCCCTCGGCATGTCCAGGCAGGGGAAGAGGCCCCGACCCCTTCGATGACATTGAGCAAGACCCGGCAAACCCCGAAATCCCGAAGTTCTGCTTTTGCAATGGATTTTCTCTCCGTGGGCGCGAGCCCCATCCCGGAGTGACGCACGATCCCGCCGCTGCCGGAGCACCAAAGGTTGCTGGAGCCGGATGTTTTCCCCCCTGAAAGGCGCCAGCCCTGGAAGTCGGAGATTTACAGCCCGGCTGAAGCCATAAAACAGGGATTTTGGGAGCTGGTTTGATTCCCCGACCGAGCGATGACGAAATGTCCCAGCGTGTCCTCACCAGCCTGCAAGAGGGGATTGCGCAGCCTCTGCTCCATCCCACGTTTCCTCCCAGCTCTTCCCGGGCCGTTAGCACATCCTTTGGCTTCGGAAGGTCAGGTTTATGAGGGTCAGGTTTATCCAACGCCTCTTCCCTGCGGGATGAAGGCTCCTCTCCGCTTAGTGCATCCTCTGTGGGTCCCTCAGCCCGGCACAGCTCCCACCTACCTGGCAGGGATCTAGAGCAGGAAAGACCGTGGGATTGCTGTTCCCAGGGACTCCTAGAGCTCAGAGCACCTGAGATGGGATGAGGGTGAGCAGGAGCTGATGCCACGGGGCTGTCGCTTCTCCACACACATCAAGCAGGAGAGAAATTGGGGGATCCAGTGATTAAAGCATCACACAGAGATCCAGCGGCTGGAAAGGCTGCTGGGAAGTCCAGGGAAAGCTCAGAGCAGGCACTGCTGAGCCTGGGAAGGTGTGGAAGTGTCCAAGGCCAGGTTGGATGAAGCTTGGAGCAGCCTGGGATAGGGGAAGGTGTCCCAGCCCATGGCAGGGGTTGGAACTGGGTGGGCTTTAATGTCCCTTCCAAGTCAAACCATTCCATGATTCCCTGTAAATAGTCTTTTTCCCTTCTCTCCACCTCCAGGGGATGGGGATGGGTGGGAAGCGTGGTGGGGGTGGTGGGTGCCATCCCAGAGCCCCTTGTGGCCCAGACTGAGGGGAAGAAGCCGCCTCGCAAATGCTGAGATTGAACTTCTAAAAAACCCAGGAAGGGGAACATGAACATGAGTCACTTCCCCATGGAACGTGGGCTGGATGCAGCCCTGAGCTTGAACCAGCTGGAGCAGGGCTTGGAGCGGGACAGGAGAAGCTCCCGGTGCCGTGTTGGATCCGAGGACAAAACCCCAAACCGGCCACGTGCAACGGGGGCTCCTCCAAATCCATCGTTCCACCCATCCTTGGGACGGTGGTCGAGGGGCTGCCCCTGCCCTGCCCTCCCAGCTCTGGTGGGGGGACACTGAGAGGGGGGAGAGCACAGATGAGGGGGCTCCAGAGGGCTTCTATTCCCCCAAAAAGCAGGAAATTCCCCCCAGCTGCCCGAGCTGGCAGAAACCTCGGGGTGGTTTTTTTTTGTAGAGTTCCTTATCACAAGCGGTGAGAGGGGAAGTGCTGCCCTCCGGATTTTGGGTCTCTCAGTTCCTTGCAGCTGTCGGGCAAAGAGAGCCCAAAAACATGCCCAGAGCCCCTCGGGAACAGGGGGGCATCACCCCATGACCCACAGAGGGGGGTTACAGCTCCCAGCACCCAGAGCTTCCCACTGCCAGGCAAACAGGCCGGATCAGGTGCCCCCCATGTCCCTCAGGGACCTCGTTGCACCCTGAAATCACTTGGGCTGAGCAAGTTTGGCAGTGGAGGAGGAAAATCCCCTGAAAACAAGGCAAATAATGCTTTCCCACGGCGTAGTTTTCCAAAGGATAAAATGGGAAGAGCAGCCTGGCTGCTGCTGCTGCCACAGGGAGATCCAAGCTGCCCTTTAGGGGTTTGTCTCGAGGGAAGGTGGGGCTGGAAGCACCTCTGGCACTTCCAAGGCTAATTCAGAGTGAGAAAACCCTCAGGGGAAGGGGAAGAACCCAGCCAGGCCCCCGGTGGCAGGGATCACATCCCAGATTTACCAGGGGATTGCGGCTCCATCCCATCTCATTTCGGGTCTGGGGATGGGCACAGAGGGATGGGAGATGGGGCTTTCCCTCTGCTGCCGGCCTGGGATGTTTGGGAAGCCACATCCAGTGTTTTCCCAATGCCAGGCGCTGCCACCATGGAGCGGTGGAGTGGAGGCCGAGGTGACCTTTGGATGTTTCCAAACTAAAGACAACCAGGGCGAGCAAAACAAAGCAGCTTTTGCCCCCCTCCCAGCAGGGATCACAGTTTTCTCCCCTTTGCTCCGAAGTTTACGGCATCTCCCAAAAATGAGACTTCTGCTCCACTTGGACGAAGACATTCCTGCCTCCCAGTCAACGATTAACTCGGATTCCCGGCCCCCCTCGGCCCCGGGGAAGTGCAGGAAATGCCTCCCATGCGACCGCCGAAAATGGAAACGGGGCTTGGGAAATCCTCGGTCACGCCACCAACACCTTCCTCACGGAGATGCTCTCGCCACCGGGATGTTCTCACCTTCCAAGGAGCGCCTTTCCTGGAGGGGTTCCTGGGACACGGGGATTCCCGGGACACGGGGATTGCCGGGACACGAGGATTCCCGGGACACGGGGATTCCCGGGACACGGGGATTCCCGGGACACGGGGATTGCCGGGTGGGCTCCGGTGAGGATTCTTCGTGGTTTGTGATGGTGTTTCCCCATCAGAAGGTATAAACACCTTGAGGGCTTCATGGAGCTGGATTTCATGGGTTTTGTGGGTCTCTTCCAGCTCGGGATATTCAGGATCATCTGCAGGAGCAGCTGGGAACGAGCTCAACCCGAGCAGGATTGATGTGGGTTATTGAGATTGTTATTGAGAAGCAGCTTTAAAAAGCAGCTTTTCCATGGTGGGAGCCTCTTTCTGTTCCATGGGAGATGCCTCTTGACCCCCCAGTGTGCCCAAACAGCCCCTTCCCTCCATTTTCCAGGAGGTATTCCCAGAGCAGGGCTTTTGGGAGCATTGTGATCCCTTGGGATGGTGGGGCCCAACCCAGGAGTGGAGCACGAGGCTCCAAAGGGACCCAGATGAGCTCTAAATGCTTCCTCCAAAAATTTTTCCAGCAGGGAGCAGATGGGAAAAATGGATGAAAGGAACATAATCCAACCTGGGCACATCCCAGAGCAGCATCTCCTTTCCCAGGGAAACCCTTGGGAGATGCTACAAGGGAAGAAATCTCCTTAAAACTGAAGGATTTTAAGGG